TTTAGTAATTTACAATAGTTTTTAGATGTTTCATGTGTTATGGTAAAACTTAGTCACTGGTTACTCTTCTGAAACAGACACGAATGATACCACACAAACACCAAATGAAAGATTAAAATTTAACACTTGCACTAAAAGATTATAAAGTGTATAGTTGTTCTTTACGGAAAGGGTACTTATATGTAATGTCTTTGAAGCACTGAAGAGACTCTTCCTATTCCTTTACATAAAAAGTGCTTATGTAGTTCTTGCTAAACATTAAGCTGATGTAACAGTCAAATCACTCCCGGCTATGAAAAGCAACAAGAAGAGTCTACTCACTTCTGTTATTGGCTCAATGTACTATTTTTATGTACTATTTAACTTAAAGAAAACCAACCACCAACAAAAAATGTGCATTTTTGAAATTCTTCTGGGTATGCTAGTAGAATTAATTTTGTTGAGTGATCGCCTTATCATTTTTCCATTTTATTATAGAACACTAGCATTTTGTGAGACCACGTTCATATTGTTGTAAATGCCAAATATTGTATAAACCGATACATTATCTCCCCTTTTGTTTTACACATCGTGCATTGGTTTGAATTATAACGAATTGTATCGTACTAAACGGATCTTCACTAAATATTTATGTACTCAAACATTCATATCTGATCAAGTTGTCAATTGTGGCTATAGATTTCTGTTAAAAGTACTGTTTTGATGCAATTTTGCATTGTACTAGGCTTAATGAATTCAAGAGCATAAAATTAACGTAAGAAGAAAGTTTTCAAGCTAGTACAATCAACCTTACCTCTGTCTTCAGATCTGCAACACGTTCTCGTAGATCTTTACTATCCACGTTATTCACGGCGCCAGGTCGAAGTCGTAGCTGTCCAACTGTCATCAACTCTTGATTCTAAAAATAAAGTATTGAGAATTATTCTAAGGAAAATTAACAAAATTAAACACGGAGTTTTAAAATTGATACTTTAATACAAAAATACCTAGTATTTTGATAAAAAAAATCAACATTGAATGATCGTACTAATCAGGCTAGGTGTTAATTTCTCCGAAAGGGGGTTGAAGTCCGCCTGGAGATTTCAACCATTCGCACCATTATACAGTAGTGTGTTGTCTGTCAGTCAGCCAGTAGATACTAAAATGACTTCACATATGGGACGCTTAACGTTGCAATTTGTACTGTCGTGACGTCAGTAAAACGTGCGCATGCCATGAATGACGAGAAAAATTATGCATTCTGTAGGCTACCACACTGCATGACATATGAAGTTCAAAAGCAAGAAATAAAAATATTTGTTACTCTTAGTTTTGGTTTTATTTACTCTTACAACAGAACACTTTCGGAGACCCTGCGGAAGTACATCTAGTTTTATAGTATGCTAATGTCAAACACAGATTCTAAGTCTGTAAAGAAAGCTTTAATAAAGAAATGGACAACATCCAGTATAGTAAAATATATTATTAAATATTTACTTCTCGATGAATATGAAATAGACAAACAAAATTACCCACAGAGGACTGATATTTCGTCGTACAACCAGCATACCCAAGATGATATACTCTAAGCCAATGGTCCCCAACAGGTGGCTCTTTGGCAACATCAGGCCCTGGAAAGCCTGATTCGTGGTCCGCACTATCATTAGATCTTGCAAAAGTAAGCGAAACTGTATATGGGGTATGATGTTATCCCTTGGCTTTATGGTCATCATTTGAAGTGGTCCAATGTGGAAATTAATTGATGGTCACTACTCTAAACATTTACTTGCTTCTGTCGAACATTCGCGTAAAGTCACACAAGGGTTATCTGCGCTAGCAGTCTTTCGTTTTGAACTGGTACATAAGAAACAAGGCAGCTAGTCAACCACATCCACTGCAAACTATTGGGTTACTATAATCGAATATTGGATTTGACCGTCATTCTTATAACGCACTTCATGGCCTAAAGTGCAATTTTGGGGCAACGAGACGTGCACCATGGACCCTCAGTTTCATAATTCGGTACTTTAAACAACAGGCCACGCCCGTTCATATCCTAAACATCACATACCAGTATTGTAAACTGTGAGGAATATTCATTATATACCTAATAAAAACAACTTTTCTTGTGAGATATTTTCAACATCTGTAAAGTATTATAAAACACGTAGGAAAGACGCAATTTATCTGTATCTTTCTATATAGGCACTATAGATGATCTGTTCCTTTCTTCAAAAGGAACTTCATCAAATTCAACAGCAAAAGTTAAAACTCCACACATTGCTTTAACATTGTACACATGAATAAAATTGTTCAGGTCAAGATATTTCAGGCGAGATAAGTCGATCACCTTCGCTGAAATAGCCACCCTAGTACAATATCAGTTATGAGGTGCTGCCATCTAGAGTGAATTATGCGTTCACGTGACCTCTTGCATAAACACTCTGGCGGACGGGCGTGAATGTGATTAAAGCGGACTTCAATATTTTGTTTTTCAACAAGTTTAAACTAAGCTAAGGACTTTGAAGCTTTTATGATTACAAAGTAAATATTTCAGGGAATTTATAAACAGCCGAATATATGCCTAAGGAACAGTCCAAGTTCACTGAATTTGTGTAACGTGCGACTGCTTTACGATGAGTGACTTAGGGTAACCCACTGACCCTCCACGAGAGGCCTTCTTACCCCACATTAATACTCACGTTCTTTTGCATCATTATCCTACATAGCGAGCAACTTGTGATCCCTACCGGAAGCATTTAAGTGCAGTTGCAAAATACAGTATTTATGTTAAATTACAATTGTTATGAATTACATGAGGGGGAGGTCGTTTTATCTAACCATATATGTAAAATGGCCCCTACCACAAGAAATGCATTTTTATCAATATCTAAAAAAGGTGTACGTCCAAGCATTTTTATACGAGAAAATACATTTATAATAAAAAAAGGTTAATTTTAAAACTTTTTGCTTTTTCATTAAATTCTCAGCAAAAGCCGCATACAACGTTAAGGTGGCCATTGTCTTACAACATTTTTTCTTATTTAGTCGAAGTTACTTAACCTTGTCACATATTTAAATCACAGTTCAAATTTTAGTTTTGTATCCTTTTTAATCAATATAAGAACTTGGTTTCCACTTTGGTATACATTTTCAGTAACTTTTATATGAATAATATTTGGAAATAACACCGAATAGAAAGAGAATAGACCTGAGGATATTGTTATCCTTTTACGCTAATAAAAAATCGGGTTAATATATACAAAGATATAGCTATAAATCTCAAACGTTGAACAAAAGTATAGCAAACAACGTTTTAAGAAATTATTATTTCTGCTTTTTACATAATTATTTGATTATTAATTCTTTAACCTTCAACCGGTTGGGTGGGGTCACAATGACCCACATCGATTTTTTAACTCGATATTCCAACTCCGCTAGTGCGCACTCTACCTGATATTTTATGTACTTTATCCCCAATCAGTTCTTGAGTGTTGAGAAGTTCTAGTTCTTTTTCGTACCTTTGTAATCGTTCGTGGGCCATTCTGACCCCACAGTATTATGAATATAATGTTTTTGAAGTTTATTACATATGAGCCATTTTATTCACCCTACCTGGGTCATTCTGCTCCCAATATTATAAAGATGATATTTTTAATTTTATTACACATGGGTCATTTTGACCTACCCTACTTCTTACGATACAAATGTTTTACCCCACTAATTGATGGTCAAGGCCCAAAAATAGTATTTGATGGTACATAAGAACACTTGTCTTTCAACAAATGTAGTTATATTGTCCCCCGATGGGACAGTGGTAAGTCTTTGGTTTTATAACTCTAAATTCTGGGGTTCGATTCCCCCTGGTGGACACAGCAGATAGCCTAACGTAGCTTTGCTGTAACAAAAACACGGTCAGTCTTTTTATATTAATATCCAAAGCACCAATTCAAATACTTCATACATTTATGGTAAGATTTGGAATTCATATGAAAAATCTTAGATTAAATTTATGTAACAAAAACCATTCTGTTAGTACTTATTGTTGAAAGCAGAAGTAGCTGGGAGAACAAACTATTTACTCATAGCAAATTTATTAATTTATCTGCTATTTTTGTACCGTTTTTCAATAAACTGTATGAAGTTAGTTTAGTTCTAAGCAGAGTAGAAGCTAACTGAAAGACACATTGTCATGTAAATACCTTGATTTCGAGAGAAGAAATCTTCTGTCTCAACTCTGCTATAACTTGAGTATGTTCCACTTCTTTGATTTTAGCCATCATCTGCTCTTCTTTGACCTGATATATCAGGTGATTAAAGCTTTAAACATTTTGTGCATAAACCAAGGAGAATACAGTTGGTTTTATAATTAGATGTTGCATACTTTTTTTTTCATCTAAATAAACAAACAACTACAACTAAACAAAAAAATTATGTAATGGCTTTTGGTAGTTCATAAAATTTAAACTTGTATATGTTTAGTTATCCAAAATTTGAAAAACTAAAACAGTGAAGGTACATTTTACTTAAATAAATATTTAATCTGTTTATCACGATATTTACTGCGAGTATCCGTACTCTAATCTATAACTATAGAATAACCCAAAATCTTTTCATATAACTACAAAATTTTGTAATGATACAAATAATGTGAAGTGTAAGTAATAAATATTAAATCTTTCAAAAACATCTAAAAACTAAGTTCAACCAAGATCATATACATGGCTGACATAAACTAATGGAAGAAGTAGTAAACTAAGGGATCCTAGCATCCCTCCCTTTCTCTTCTTTAGTATTTTTCTGATAAGCAAAACATTGTGTATATGTGCACATATATGCTAGCTTATGCAATTTTCTTCGTGTATCTTTATGGAAATTAAACTGTCTGGTATGTTGTAAATTCTTTTTGCATCTGTTCTCATAAATAAAGGAAAAGTGTTTAATTTTCTTCAATACTTTGGTAACTAACAATACAAGTATTACTTACCGTGGGCGAAGGTATTGATTGTCACTCTGAAAACATATCTAATGGACACAGTTTGCTGTTATATGGCATGGCTGAGTTCCAGCTCTAGCTTTTTTATCTGAGGGAGGGTAGTGAGACATATAATGAGGCCAAATTATGTAAAATTAGATTAATGGCTGGTATCAGCTTGATGCCATAAATGATGTTGTAAGTAGTTTTTCTGTTGTACAACAAGGATTTCGCTTCTTGTTGCTGGAAAGAGAACTTAACAATTTTGTTTCATAGAGGGGCAGACTCAGGTTTGTTGGAGCTACCTAAGAACAACTTTATATAATATTACATAAAGTACAAAGCTTCTTTTGCAATTTTTCTTATATTTTGAGGTATCTTGTGCAATTTATTCGTGGTTTTGTTTTGCCACTTATGACATGAAAAAAATGTAAAAGGACAATGAGTCCCTAACTGGCAAACCCACAATCACAAAATATTGTCACCAGTTTCTTCACATTGAAATAAAGAGTATTTATATTATGTTAATAAATCAATTGGCAGAACAAAAATTGCAATAGCCCATGATTGCTTCACCTTTGACTGAATATAACGTTTGAATGCAATCTTGATATTCCTTTGATGGTATTGGTATCATTTGATAGCTGTGGAAGGTAGCAAGTCAAAATTGTTCCTAAGTTCAAAGGAACCAGGTTTATTTGGCTTTTGTGTGACTTTACCTGAGTTTAACCTTCCAAATGATTTATTTGTTTCTGTGTTTATTTGTTATGAACCATAAAGCTACATATTGGGCTATGTGTACCGCAAATATCAAAATCCAAAGTTTTTGTATTGTAAGCTGTGAGGCTTACCGCTGAGCTGGCCAAGTAATATACCTTTGTTTCTGAAAGTTACAAATTACACTACATTTACTCATGCCTCATTAAGCTACGTGCAGAAAGTTAACTGTTTGAAACTCAGCAAGTTCCCTAACTATATGACAAGTTTGACATTGATTTTAAGAGTATATGTTTAGGTCTTATATATATATATATATAATATAATGCTCTTTTCCTTTCCATACTGTTATTCCTAATTTGTTCTAAGCCTTTATAGGAAATTTGAAGAAAAACCAAAAAAACACACACAAACACAATAGTCACCTTTATCAGTCACTTATAAATAGACATAGATCAAATGACCACACAGTTTATTTTACATTTTACTGATATTCATAAGTAGATCAGCTTTGATTATTATTTAGGGTGGAAAACTTTGACAATAGTTGATCATTTTTAGACCTAATTTGTGTTGCCTTTCAAACAATGCTATCTATTTCTAAAAAAAGGAAGAAAAAAATCCAGTTTTGTTAAAAAAAAGGCTTTGAAGCTAGTGATATCTCAGGATAGTGAGGATTGAAAGCAGTTTTCATTTCTAAAATTAGGGTTTTTGAGAGCAATAAATTCGAATTTTAATACCATAATGCACAATTTTGTGAGATCAAAATCAAATTGCACCAGAAACACAGGATCAGTCATGGGTGGGATTTGGGATCAAAATGGGTGAGGGTAAAAAAAAATTGACTTAATTATTGTGAATGTTGTGTGTATGCTATATCCCACGAAAAAAGTGGATGGGGTAAATATTTCCTTTGTCCCCCACCCACCCCAATCCCGCGTATAGGATGAATTATTGACTATAAGCAACATAGCACTTCTAAAAGTACACATAAGTTTATTAAAAGTTGAATCTGGTCGTTTAGACTTTTAGTAAATTTAAGCCAATTTTTTAAACACTATGTTGCTTAGATTCAGCATTTTACACATGAAGTTAATGAAGTTCATCTGGGACCAATTATATAATTAGATGCAAATATAGTCAGAAAAATAAGTTTAAAGTTGTGGCGAAAAAAAAAAGCCTTCATCAAATTATAATGATAAAGTATTCTTCTGAATAAACGCTATATCTTGTTTGTGCAACTACGATTTTCCCAAACCACCCAACACAAACCATCAGAAAAATAAAATTAAGCTCAATGATAAGTTGTTAAATACCTAAGATGGCGAAAAGAAAGAGCGTACTTAAAGCCTAAGAAAAGAACACGAGCAGTCTAACAGAATGGGGCATTTACACTAGACTTATTATGTTATTGGCACAGAAGTCTGTAAAGACTAGAGAAATTGTTCTTCAATCAAAGGTTGTTATCACAGGTAGTGATTAGAGTGTATTCAAGAAAAGTCACGTGTAATGAGAGAAAGAAGAAATTTATCAATTACCTTAGACTCTAAGTTTCCATACTTTCTCTCCTCGTCTTTCAACTGATTCTGAAGTTCTTTTTCTCTTTCTACTGTCTCATCTAATGTCTTCTGAAGTTTTTCTAATTCTTCTGTCTGCCGTCTTGACTGGTTTAGGTTCACCTGATTCTGTATAAAATGAAAACACGACCAATGGTAATTTTCTTAGAAATTAGGAGATAAAACTGTAGAACAACACTGTACTAATAATTTTAAATCTCTAGTAACTTCATATCAAAATAAATGTGTCTGAAATGAATAAATAGTTCAAACAAATTACAATGTATAGAACAACCATTTAAATGTGTTACTATTTTATACAGTAAAGTATTAACCAAATATTTCTTCTGGAATGTTTTCAGTTAAAAATAATCTCATTTTGTCATATAGCTTAAAACCGCATTTCTCAGTTGGTCATGTTATGGAATTTGTTGCACAATATGAACATTATTTTGTATTACAATACATATACATATCAGTACATCTTTAACAAATCAAAACTTGTTGTTTTATTTATTTTAATTATTTTTCTTCTCACAAAAGTACTGAGAATAATCGTACTTTATAAGATTTCAGGTAAGTGCTGCTCTTGGAACTATTTTCTCTATCGTCAGTCGTGCTCAGTTTTATGGTCATGATTACGTATTACTGCCTGACATCACAGTTCCATTGTTACGTACTTCTGCGAAGGACAGAAATGTCACTTTAGACCACTGACCTTGACCACTTTCCCACAAATCTTCCGCTCTACGTGAAAATCGGCTTTAAAAAAAATCTCTGGAACTTGGAAGCAGAATTGGGAATGTGGTCGAATGGAATTGCTGTGATTACAATTTATTCAGCAATTTTTTTTCCCATGGAAACAGTTATTGATTTTGAGGTGTAGCTGGAAGCTTGCGGGCTTTTGGCTTATGATACTTTGTCAGCTTTTTGTTTATTATCTTGTTATTAATGTACCAAAATATATGCCCACCTTCATCGCAATGGCGATTTAGGAGGGCAGATTCTCATACTTACTCAGAGCCTTTACTTGGCAGACGAGGGCATTGCTCGGATCAAATTGAAGTGTGGTTTTGGAGCCCATTGTTGTTATTAACGTTTTGCTATCGTAATTTTTCAATTCTATGAAAAACGTTGAAGAAACTCTTATTTAAAATGTTGCATTCTCTGTTTCTACATCGTTTAACAGATTCACTGTATGAATATTTATCTTTGGAAAGGCTTTTAAATGTCCTAAACTCGTAGCATCATCACATTGTTGAACATTCGAGAATTCGCCATGGACTAAATAAATATATCACTCATATAATCCACGATACACATTTTATTAGGGTGAGATGTGCAGTTTTAAGAAAAGTATCCCCATTTGCACTTCAAATATTTTTAGTGTTTTGGGAGCTCGTATTTTGTATAATATACTACCAGTCTTAAAAATGATTGCATGTGGAACTCTAGAAACATTGAATTTAAAATAGATCCTTTTGGAATGTATTTTAAATCCATTCACGGATTTGTTTAAACTTAAAATAAGTTCTCTCTACCCCTCATTTCAATGATGCAAAATAAGCTAAAATTTTGAATATAGGTAATCCAAATAAATATATAATTCAACATAGATTTCATTTTGGGGCTTGATAAAATGATAAATCTGCCTATAAACTCCAACCTATTACTTGATTTATTGGCTTAAAGAAAAGAATCGGTCACCTTAAAGTAAAACTAGTGTAAATAGTGAATCAAGACCAAGTATGGCATAGTGTTAAGCATTCTTGGACTGTGAATCCAAGAGTTCATGTTTCGCATCCTATTGCAGTAAAAACGAGCTCTGCACTTCGAGGCCAATGGGTGCATTATAACAGTGACTGTCAAGTTCCACGATTCGGTCAGACAAGAGTAGCCCACGAATTGGAAGTGAGTGCCATTTACAAGCTGCTTTCTCTCTAGTCTAATAGTTCAAATATAGTTCTTGTGTAGCTTTTCGAGATAATTCGAAAGCAGATAATCATCTGTAATATAACTATTTTGGTATTTGTATTTATAACACAGAAAAAAGCTTACATGAATATAACTCCGTGTGATATAAATATAACTCAGTAATGTTGTATATCATGTTTAAGTTTCATACAGATATATTTTTTATGACTTCAACTTCGTAGGGGAAAACAAAGTGTGTGTGAACCTCTACGTCAAATTTAAATGTTTTGGTATATGTTCTATAGTTATAACCCCTGCTGTTCAGGCAATGCTGGGCATAAATAGGTGTAAATTAAGTCGATGCTATCAGTTACAATCATACAAAATTTCAGTGACATTGCTTGTAATTGTAAGCCTTTTGTTTTATGGTTTTATTTGTTTGCAAATAATTTTAGTACACTTTATGTATCTCTTATAGAATGCTTGTAAGTCCAAGTTTGATTTTTACATAGAAGTAGAGACTCACCTGAGCTTCTAGTTCCATAACTTTCTGGCGAAGCTCCTTTAGTTCTGCCACAGCATCTGCCTCTCTTAACTTCGCTGAAATAAGATCTTCTTGCAGCTGCACAATTACTGACTTCTCCTGTTTCTTTGAGGGTGAAGGAGAATCTACGCTAGATTCATTCAGGTGTTGCTAGAAGAAACCCATACGGTTCAGTATGAAACTGGCACTGGAATTGTCAGTTAAAACATTTAACCAAGTAAGTGTCCTGTGAAAGTCTGCGAAAATTGTTTTTATTTCCAGTGATTGAGCATACCGAGTCGCAGCAACTGCGACAAATCTGATCAACAGACAAGATGAAATAATACTAGGCACTTTATAACAACGATAGCACATCACATAAATGATATTTATAATATTGATGAAGGTTTGATTAGGTTAATATTACACTCGTTTTCAGACTTTCAGAAAACTGAAGCTATCTGATGGTATTATTTGTTAAACATTTCGATGAGTTAAAGTTAAATAATTTCATAATTTTCACTTACTGGAATTCACATCGTGTTAGACAGGACTTTTTCTGCACCAAAACATGCATTCTGACATCGTGGATAGTGTGTGTTTTAAAAATGCCTACAGTCTGACAAATATATAACGATGTTGAAGCGTAATTGAATATTTTTTTTTTCAGTTGGTAGCAGAGCAAAATTATATATAGAGAAACTTACCCTCCAAACGGTTTGTAACCCCAGTACTTTTTGTTTAAGTTCCTTCATAGAGAGGTTAGCCTCCGCTTCCCTTAGTTTAACAGCAATCAGCTCCTCTTGCAGTTGAGCTAGTGTTTTGTCTGGGGTTATTTCTCGAAGTTGTTTGTTGGCCTAAAGGTTGAAAAAATAACGTGAAAGAATTTTCTAAATGTTTTATGTAGAAAAGAGAAAGAGATGTTTGAAGACAAAACTTTCTGAAATTTTTCATAGTTCTTCATAACCTGAAAGGATTTTCTAAATGTTTCGTGTACAACTGGAAAATAGAGCTTTACAGATAAAACTGCCTAAGGGTTTTCATAATCTTTCATTTCATGAAAGAGAGATTTTCAAAGTTGAAATTATGAAATATATAAAACATTACAATAATATCTCAATAAAAAGCAAAATGGTAAATTCTATTACCATAGTTCCACATCCTTACCTCTTCCAGCTCTTGGATTCGGCCTCGAAAATCCTGCATTACTTCATCTTTTTCTGCTTCTCTTAACTTAACGGCCACTAATTCTTCCTGTAAAGACTGGAGCAAGTCATCAATAGAGTTGTCGGTGGAGGATGACTGTGATCCTGTCTGATACAAAATGATACAGAATCATATATGGCATAAATCTTATAATATGGATATCCTGATTTTCTTTCTTTTCCATTAAAGTCATCACTTTACAAAGAAGTACTCATAAGACTGCATGCCGAACATCAAAAAATCAAACTGAATATGTAAGTAGAATTGTAAGTTTCTTTTAATAAAAATGAGTTTTTAATACTCAATAATTAAAGTCGTCTACTTTCATTGATTGTAAATTGTGTGTAAGTCTTTACTCACAAAACAGATTCTGGGAAAATAACTAAGAACATACCTCACTTAGTGTTTTGATCTGCTCATAAGCCAGTTCCAGTTCTTCTTTCACAGCCTGTTCTTTGTCTCGAAGTTCTGCCAATTCTCGTTTAATAGCAAAGTTCTCTTCAGCTTTCTGAGCACGGCTAATCTGATCCTGGATCAGTCGGTCTGCGAGGGATGAGCTTTCCTGTCAAATGTAATTGATGCTTGAAAGTCAGGATGTGGTGCTTATATGAGTTATTAAACCCTTGAAGAGAATTCCTATTTAGACAAAACAGCTGTAAAGCAAACTCTGGTTTAATTAAAAAAAGACACCATCAGTTACATGTCACTAGAATCTGCATCAACCAACTTTGGAGGAACTACTACTAGTGCAGATAAACCAATGTTTTCTCCTAGAGCTTATCTTCTTGTACAAAGGCCACAGAAATACAATGTAATATCACGTTTTCACGAGATCTCTGAAGATAAAAGGTCAAACATTAGTATGCAAAAACGTCTTTTGAACACTGTGTGACCAAACAACTCTTCCAACACTGACCAAAACTTTCCAATATAGAGTATCTTACCTAATATAATCATCATAGGTAAAGTAACCCCCTAAAAATTCACGACTATTGACAAACGTTATAGAATTTTTCACACTAAATATTAAACATTTTTGATTAACAAGAGCTGTACGTGTTGTGGTTCAATTGGAAAATCTGAAGACAGAGGTAAAACACTTATATTTAAAAACTTTACAAACTATGCCATTTTGTTTCAGTGTAGCAATCGTTGGTTCGATTATCTTTCTATTAAAAATCTATTGTCTTCAGATTTACAATGCTAAAATCAGGAGTTCGATTACCTTCGGTGGACACAGTAGATAGCCCGATGTGGTTTTGCTATAACAAAACACCCAAATACCCAAAACCATCAAACTGACCAGTTGCTAAAACAAATGCATAAAGCCGTTGTTAACTCGATTAACACAGATTAGACTTTATTTATGCCTATAGAATACTTTATTAGTCACATGTAAGTACTGTGAATAAAACGGTCTCCTTATAAATAGTTGGAACTTTCAGATTTCTTCATTAAATCGTAGCAGCTATGCATAATTTGTAATTAACAATAGAAAAGTTGTATGCATTTAAATAATAGTATAAGAAAACTACTTATTTGTTAAAAACACCTCACTACATCTTAAAGTAGAGACTTTATATTGACAAGAATATTATAATATAGTTCAGCCTTTCACTTTTCCAGGAAGAAATTTTTTGTTTGTTTGTTATTAAACACAATGGGGTATCTGTGATGTGTTCACCGCAGGTATCGAAACCCGATTTTTAGCGTTATAAGTCTTCAGACTTATGAAACTGATCTGCATATAACAACTTCAATGGTACCCTGGTGGGACAGTGGTAAGTTTACTAACTTACAACACTAAAATCCGTGGTTTGATTCTTTGCAGTGGACACAGCAGATAGCCCAATGTGGCTTTACTCTAAAATAAACATACAACTTCAATGATTTCTTACAAATTAAGTCACATCTTTATTCTCCCAATGATTTACAAATATACCACTAAGCAACCACAGGGAAAAACACTGATCATCAAAAGAGTGTAAATAAAGGTAATCATTATAAGCGATTTTAAGTTTATTTTCACAACCCAGGATAGCTAGTATGTATATTTGTTTCAGAAGTTGAACTAACCCCTCATATTTCTTCTACATTTTTTTCTTTTTTTTTGTGGACTGGCTGCTTTGTTTGTTTGTTTGTTTTGAATTTTGCGCAAAGCTACACGAGGGCTATCTGCGCTACCCATCCCTAATTTAGCAGTGTAAGACTAGAGGGAAGGCAGCTAGTCATCACCACCCACCACTAACTCTTGGGCTACTTTTTTACAAACGAATAGTGGGATTGAACGTTACACTATAATGCCCCCACGGCTGAAAGGGCAAACATGTTTGGTGGGACGGGGATTCGAACTTGTGACCCTCAGATTGCAAGTCGACCACCATAATCATGAGATAAACATGTTTCTGTGTTTACCATTTTTTTGTTAGATGGAAATTAGGTCTCATCATCACACAATTATACCTATCTTTAGTTGACCACTACATGACTATAATGGAAATTAGGTCTCATCATCGCACAATTATACCTGTCTTTAGTTGACCACTACAGGACTATAATGGAAATTAGGTCTCATCATCGCACAATTATACCTATCTTTCGTTGACCACTACATGACTATAATGGAAATTAGGTCTCATCATCGCACAATTATACCTATCTTTCGTTGACCACTACCTGACTATAATGGAAATTAGGTCTCATCATCGCACAATTATACCTATCTTTCGTTGACCACTACATGACTATAATGGAAATTAGGTCTCATCATCACACAATTATATCTGTCTTTAGTTGACCATTACCTGACTATAATGGAAATTAGGTCTCATCATCACACAATTATACCTGTCTTTAGTTGACCACTACATGACTATAATGGAACTTAGGTCTCATCATCATACAATGATACCTGTCTTTAGTTTACCACTACCTGACTATAATGGATAACTAAGATGAACAAGTATATAAAGCACTAGGAATTTGAGATTTAGAAAAAATCATGCAATTTTAATCTAATCCAATAATTGAAGAGTAAACTTTACCTCAACATTTCTTATGGCATCATTAGTGAATTAACCTTTCTTTAAAGGTAAAAAGGGGCCAGTTCCTCTTCTAGCAAAATGATATATTATCCTTCACACCTCCTATATGTTAATATGATGAAAACTTATCTGATATTTGATTTTTATAAAGAATCTAACTAGTTGTCTATACTCTCAGAATACACATTTTTTTTGCAAATATGAACTTTTCAACCTCTAACTGACCTTGAAATTCAAATGAAAAAAATACTGTAAGCCGTCATAGTGTTAGTGTGCCAAAAATTAATTTGGCATGCCCAAAAAGGTTTAAAATAACGACTAAAAGTTAAAGTATTAAGTGATTTTCAAGCGATCTGTTGTATTATTTATGCTTTTTTTTTTACATTTGTTAGAGCTAAACTGTATTTAAAACTGGATGCAAGTGTTGTCACTTTAAGTTTGTTATTATTGTAATACGTATGCATATACAGATTGTGTGTATTTATACATAATATATATATTTGTAGGTATGGTTTGTTTGTTTATAGAAAAGCTACTAAGGCCAGAGGAAAGCACCTACAGTTGAAAGGGCGAGCATGTTTGGCATCAGGTTTAAAGTTATGGAGTGTAAATAAATTGTAATGTATACAAGTTTAGAGTGTGTGTTTTTTGTACTATATTTTGTTCACAATCCTTTACCCCTAAGATAAATTATTTTAAGAGATTCATGTTACGCAGTCCAACTCACCTGTTCTAGGTTTTCAATTCTCTGTCTTAGAAGTCTGTTTTCTGTTCGTAGTCTCTGTTATTAATAAAAACAGCATTGAATTGAAACAATACGACAAGATAGAGAAGTAAAAGTGGACTTATCTAGTTGTGTTGATTAACTTCAATATAAAATAACATTAACTATTTATTTTGCTTTCTCACACAATTTACTTGACTAGTCAAACTTCAATACCATATAATTGCTAATATAAACGTGATTACTTACAAATATTAGTAAGATTCCTTGAAAAGTAATTGCCTTTATAAATTTATGGGTCCTAATTTTAAATCGAAATTTAACTCATGTCTTCAACATGATAAAGCATGTTTTGTACACTTAACGAAACACAATATAATATATGCTTATGATATTGAGTGATTTTATAACAAATAACTTTAGTAACTAATAATTTAGCAGTTACACAGTCTGGAATTGCAAGTTTTCCCATTACAAATACTTACTCTCATTTCAATCAACTCTTCATGTTCTTTCACTTTTAATGTTGTATAGTCTTTCTCCAGTCTACATGATGGCATAAATACAAAGTAAAACATTTCACAATTAGTTTGTAAACATCCAATAGCTTTACAACAATCTTTTATTTAGTCTTTTCACTGATATACTGTGTATTTTTTATGAGTTTCAAAGAAGATCTTTAAACAAGTGAATATAACAAATGTAGTTTTATAGTCAGTGTAATTAACTCTTGTAGTTTTATAGTCAGTGTAATTCACTCTTATAGTTTTATAGTCAGTGTAATTCACTCTTGTAGTTTTATAGTCAGTGTAATTCACTCTTGTAGTTTTGTAGTCAGTGTAATTCACTATTGTAGTTTTATAGTCAGTGTAATTCACTCTTGTAGTTTTATAGTCAGTGTAATTCACTCTTGTGGTTTTATAGTCAGTGTAATTCACTCTTGTAGTTTTATAGTCAGTGTAATTCACTCTTGTAGTTTTATAGTCAGTGTAATTCACTCTTGTAGTTTTGTAGTCAGTGTAATTCACTCCTTGTAGTTTTATAGTCAGTGTAATTCGCTCTTGTAGTTTTATAGTCAGTGTAATTCACTCTTGTAGTTTTATAGTCAGTGTAATTCACTCTTGTAGTTTTATAGTCAGTGTAATTCACTCTTGTAGTTTTA